GACACGGCTGGCTCCCTGGTGTGGTTTCTTGGGGATCCTGAAATCTGGGCATAACACATAGTAACCTCCATCTTATATAAAAACTGCTGTTTGAAATTTTAAACCTGCTATTTTGGCTTCTGTAAATACTTGCTTGCTTAAATAATAGAGAAAATAAGACTACTCCCATTCCATAGAGGCCATAAAATATGCCCCAGACAGAGTTGTCAGTGCTGACACCAGGCCAGGCTTAAGATATGGTCTCATGGCCCTTCTCAGCACACAGGGCTTCTTTCTCATAAGGTCTGGAAATCTCATTGCAAATTTAGAAGACAAAGAGCTGGGAAAAGTATAAAAAGGGAAGACTTTCTCCATGTCGGGGCTCAGAATTTGAGAGAGATATTCTGCTCTGAGCCCGCTAGCATAATAAAGACTCATAATTAATTGGCTCATTAAGGCGTCCTATATTCTGCTCACTGATTTACAATATAACAATGGGGCGGAGGAAAGGTGTGCAGTAATTATAGATTTTACTTTAGAGATGTTGCTAAAGGAAATGGGGAGCTTTTGGAGTCCTGAGGATGGCTGTGGGATAAGGAAACTGTTTTAATAAGGTCAGTATGTCATCAGATGAAGTACAGATGGGAGGAAGAAAAGTAAAGCTTGGAAGTATTTATTTTGAGGCAACAAAGATGCTCAGAATGTGAGAGGTAGTTCACTCCTATTATTTCACTACTTTTGAATTCTTGTAGATTATATTGGGTGATTTAGGATAGGAATAACACAAGAAAGTGTGCTAGTGAAACAGGAATTTTTAGGGGTGAAAAAGACAGGTTTAGGAAATTTTAGAAATTAAGGGGACCATGGAAGAAGCACAGGGCTGTAGAGCAGCAGAAGGTATATCTCCATAGACTAGGGAAGCTGAAAAGCTGCAACCAGTATATTTCCATAGAATGAGGGAGCTGGGAACAGCAGAAGGTCTATATTTACAAAATAAAGGGAAGAAAGCCCCTCATCCAAAAGAAGAAAGATTAAAGGGAAAACAATAAGGAAGAAGGGGAGGAAAACCTCCTAAGTCCCATGTGAGGTTAACCTTTGAGCTCAGGAGTTACCATAGTAACCAGTTAAGGGAATAGTGACCAATCAGAGGGGATATCAAGGCACAAAGATCTGCAGCCTTTATAAGCCATAGGGAAAAGGAACTCAGTGGGACCCTTTCCCCCTCCCCACGTGGGAGTCTGTGCTATGAGATTCTTTCCTCTTCCCCACGTGGGAGTCTTTACTTGTTCTTCAATAAATTTCCACCTTTGCTATATCACCTTCCATCCGTGGCTTCATTCTTCGATTCCCATGGACAAAGAACCCGGGAACCAGTCTGCCCAGGGGAACACGGTGTGTTCCCGTCCAAAAATCCCACATCAGTAGTGACAACAGGAGGCCTATAATAACAATGCAAAAATCTACCATTGAAGGAAGTAATAGAAATTGATAGCTTTGAATAAAAGAGACTGCAACCAAGGCTGGGGTAGGGATGTTGATAATGATAGAGAAGGAGAGTGCTCAACGGTCTGAGTCAAAAGATTCAGAAACCCAGAGAATGATGCCACCACGAGGACAAACGGAGCACTGGAATGATGGACAATTTGGGAAGTGTAAGAGGAGGGGGCCAGAAAAGGACTGAGGACCATGAGAATCCAGTTCTAGGCTGCCCCTCTAATGAGCTGGGGAAGTTAGTGCACTTCTCTGAATGTCAAGTTCCTTACATGTAAAATAAAAGGGAACCCGGTAATCTTGAAGGCACCATAAAAGTTCAATGGTTTCATCACGCTGAGTTGGAGATAAGTGCAACACTAAATGGAGAAACACAATGTAAATACATATTAAATGACACAACGTAAAATAGAGCAGGTGAGTTGTGAATAATTCTATTTCTGTACGCGGTATGGAATTTAAAGTAAATTTATCAAATTCCTTTTATATGTAGGGCTGTTAAGTGCTTTCTCAAGCAGCTTATACTTTCGTGTAGAAGGCACATTGTGATTCCTAATATTCCCATAGTGAAGTTTACAACGTTCTTTCAAAATAAAAACCCTATGTAATATGTACCAACCCCCAACCCTCTTTCAGAGGAGGCTGATTGTGTCAAATGTATTTCTTTTAAAAACATGTTATTTACTTATTTCAGAGAGAGAGGAAGGGAGAGGGAGAGAGAGAAACAGCGCCGAGGAACATCCGTGGGCTGCCTCCTGTGCCCCCACCAGGGACCAGCCCACAGCCTGGGCTCCTGCCCCCGGATGGGGAGAGGAACCAGCAACCTTTTGGGGTCCCCGACGACGCCGTCAGGGTTCAAATGTCAAGGTAAGGTCTCAGAAGATTCGGGGGCAAAAGAGACAGAGCAAATTTAATCAACAGGAAGTCACTAGCTTTCTTTGAGGGAGAAATTTTAGCGGAATCTGAAGTCAGGTATCAAGAAGGGGAGAGAGGAATGGAGGAGAGCAGGTGCCCAGCCTGGCGGTGCTCAAACGTACTTGACACACTAATAAGCTACCTGATACAAAAGATAAAGATATGGCTTGGTTTCCTATCAGGTAACACAGTTTTTTAAAAGTACATCAGGCCCTGGCCGATTTGGCTCAGTGGATAGAGCTACGGCCTGCAGACTGAAGAGTCCCGGGTTCGATTCTGGTCAAGGGCACATGGGCTCAATCCCCAGTAGGGGACGTGCAAGAGGCAGCTGATCAAAGATTCTCTCTCATCATTGATGTTTCTATCTCTATCTCTTCCTCCCTCTCCCTTCCTCTCTGAAATACACACACACACACACACACACACACACATCGGGCATCTCTTCTAGTGAAACCAGAGGACAAAAGTATAGGCACCGTTCAGCCCATAATCGTGCAGACAAGGACAACAGTGTGCTGACTGTGGAGGTGGAAGAGGGTACAGGGTGGATAAACAGTGATGGGAAAAAATAAAAGATACGGGAGGAAAAAACAACTCGAAAGAACGCAGACAAGCCCTCCTCCCGGTTCCGACGCGAGCAGACCCCCACCTGGGCGGAGCGCGGCTCGGAGCTGCTCAGAGCTGCGGCGGGAGCCGGCAA